TTTTATTCGTGTCAGCGTTGGATTAGCAGACAAAGTATCATGGTACTTTAGCCATGTTCAGGGACCACTAGATAATGATGCTGGTGTTGTTGAGGTCATATTAGCAGCTATGAGGCTAGTCTCTGCTCTTGCCAAGACACTGGCTATGAGGTTAGTACTGTGAACTGTTTATTATATGTTAATAGTACAGTAGTTCATTACCAACATAGTTACTGGTTAATGATATTGTCTCAGAAATAATAAGTGCCATGAGAATTTTTGTATTTTCCCTAAATTGTATTAACCCTTTCACTGTCAGAAACCTTGATTTTATTTTTTTAATAATTTTTTTTCTTCTGAAATGGTAAAAAATCTTTTTTTGAAGGCAGTGACTCCAAAAATATGAAATTTGATGGAAAATGTACAGAATTAGGCAGGAGCAAAGTTAGCAGCCTGGATGAATTTATTCATTGATGATTCTGCTAACTTTGAGTCCTATTTTAAGCCAATTCCATTGTTCAGTTCAGCCAAATTCATTGATATGCCCTTTGTTCTGTTGATTGAGCATAAGAAACTGCCAATTCACTCGAGAACTATCCTATAAAGTTCACAGAATTTGGTAATTCGGCCAGTTTTACACAAAATTAAGGAAAATTTCAATTTGAAGTAAGTACTGTAGACATTCAGGGCACTAAAGCAATGTTTCCACTGTCATTAATCACATCCCTAGGCCTCTCCTATATTACACTCTCTCTCCATTTTTAACCCTTTGAGGGTCCATGCTGTAGTTATACAGCTTTGAAGCCAGGGTTTGTGCCATGGTACTATATTATGAACTCACCTCATTCAGATAAGCTGTGAGCAGTAAATTTGGGCCTAGATATGAGAGAATGCATCTATGTAGTAAGTGTACACCATATAAAACAACAACTGCAGCATGCAGTGCATGACAAGAAATACAAAATGCGACCATGTTTTTGGATTAAAACAATGAATTTGTGGTGTACTTTCATATGTTTTTTACAGTTGTATTTGTAGCTTTTTGAACTCATTTGATAGAATGGAAGATATATTACAGAAATAGAGATGATTTAGATTGGTTTTAGTACTGAAAATAGCTTGAAATTGAGCTCAAATTAGTGGAAATGTTCGATTTTTGCTGATGTTCAAGAGTAAACAAATCACATCACGCTTCCAATACATGTCAGTTTGTGAGTCTTGTGTATGTTCACGAATGCGCTGATATTATTTATGCAATTATTTCAGTATTGCATAACAGTAAATCTTCTATTTTTTGGTGTGAATGTAAAGCCTGGAAACATAATTAATGAACAGAGGAAATGTTATTTTAGTGTTGATGCGTAAGTATCGCTGACACTGCAAAATTCGTGATAGCATAATTTTGTCAATTTTTAATCAAATTTCATGCTTTTTGTTTTATTATCTTCAGAAAAAGATTCTCTACCATTTCACAAGAAAAATAATATATATTTTAAAAATAATATATATTTTAAATTCTTGGACCCTGTGGGGAATTTTCAGATTGGGGGTTTGGACCCTCAAAGGGTTAATTCATTATCACAAAATTCAAAGATTTACCGTATTTCTCAGATAATAAAATATAACAAGGAATGATTGGTTATGTTTTATGGCATCCCAGAAATTGAATCAGACTTAGTAAAAACCCATAAAATAGACAGGGGTGTGTAGGAAAGGCCTTACCCATCCTTGGGAAAAATCATAAAAAATTTAAATATTTCCAATGTTTTCAGCAGGTAATTTGTTGCATTAATGTCATGCTGAATGAAGTTTATTACTGTTGTATCTCCATATTCGATGAACTGTTGTTGATGTTGAGTACTAGGTTACTGTTCCTGCTAAATGTAATCATAGTAGTTAGTTTTATTATTTATGCCACTTTTTTCTTATAGTTACTAGTGATATCCTGACATTCTAACATCTAAATGATTTTTGTTTGATCTAATCTTTTATAGATTTCTTTGAGCATTTAACTTTACTTTCAATAATTTACTTTGCCACTTCTGAAGCAAGTGCTTTTACAAAGTTTTCCTTTTAACTTGCACAGTCTTGGTGCTTCATTCTTATTTGAAATTTTCATGAAAAAGCTGCAAGTGGGGTTTCCAGGCAGTATGAGGCATCCAGCAAGCACATGTGATTGTATGTGAACTTGTTGAATTAGTGAGTGGAGGTCCATGGTTTACAAGATTTAATGTTGTATTGGAATGTGAGTAATGCAATATTTGTGAAGAAACTCAGCAAAGGTGGCTAGTGGGTCTTGAGTTTTGGAGGTTTGAGGTTGAAAAGTAGTTGTTTATACACTGAAAATTATTAAGAGTTCAGTGAGTCAATATTGGATTGTGATGTCTTTGTCTTCTAGAAAGGCAACAAGGTAGTGTTTTTTTTAGGCATTTCTAAATAGGTGGGAAATGGTTGACAAGTTGAAAATTAATGATTTTTGTACCCCTTTCTGAAATGCATCACATTCATTGTCATTCCTGCTGATAATATCTATTTGATTGTCAGTCTTGGTACCACTAGTGCCCCAAACGTATATATACATTTTATTCTTCCTGCCTTCAAATCTGGCACGATTGGCCTGAGATGCCTTGTCAGCATAGAATGGGTCCTAACACTCAGTGTGTGCGGTATTAAAAAATCTGGGACCACTTAGTACCTTGTGGGGGCGCCAGCTAGAGCAGACAGCGCAGCAAACACCTGGGATTCACTGATTTAATGTAGTATTAACTCTCCCATTTTAAGAGGAAAGTGATTTTGACCCCAAGTTTAGTGGCTTTGGGGTGGCTGTGGCCATAAGTGGTCGATGAAATATAAAAAAATCTCAATAATAACCCATGTGCAACATTTGTGCAGCACCCTTTCAAAATGTCTTATAACTTATGCCCTAAGTAAAGCGAGACAATTCTGGCTGGCTGGCCTGGCTGGCCTAGCTGGCTGGCCTGGCTGGCTGGCTGGCCTGGCTGGCCGGCCTGGCTGGCTGGCCTGGCTGGCTGGCCTGGCTGGCTGACTGGCCTGGCTGGCCTGGCTGGCCTGGCTGGCCTGGCTGGCCTGGCTGGCTGGCTGGCTGGCTGGCTGGCTGGCCTGGCTGGCTGGCTGGCTGGCTGGCCTGGCTGGCTGGCCTGGCTGGCTGGCTGGCCTGGCTTGCCTGGCTGGCTGGCTGGCCTGGCTGGCTGGCCTGGCTGGCTGGCCTGGCTGGCTGGCTAGCCTGGCTGGCTGGCTGGCTGGCCTGGCTGGCTGGCTGGCTGGCTGGCTGACCTGGCTGGCTGGCTGGCCTGGCTGGCTGGCCTGGCTGGCTGGCCTGGCTGGCTGGCCTGGCTGGCTGGCCTGGCTGGCTGGCTGGGCTGGGCTGGGCTGGGCTGGGCTGGGCTGGGCTGGGCTGGGCTTGGCTTGGCTTGGCTTGGCTTGGCTTGGCTTGGCTTGGCTTGGCTTGGCTTGGGCCTGGCCTGGCTCGGCTCTATCTCCGTTTGTCTGTCTATCTCTGTCTGTCCCTGTCTATCACTTTCGGCCAGCTGGCTGGCTGCTGGCCTGGCTCTATCTCTGTTTGTATGTCTGCGGCTGTCTCTGTCTATCTTTGTCTCTGTCTGTCCCTGTCTATCTGTCTCACAGGTACACATAAATACAAGTATACATAGTGTAAATTGCCTAGGATAACCCAAAAAATCCAGACAAAGCGCTATACTCTGCTTGAAGATATGAGTAAAGGTGATGACCCAGTCTCGTGGCTCTCTCTCAGACAGAGAACTAGACGGATAGACAGATAGACAGGGAGCTTGACAAATAGACAGACAGACACATGTTTGTGTACCATTGAAACAAAGCTGGGTGAGGCTTCTAATCTTTTCTTATCAAGTGTTATCACTGCACCCTGGCGTATGCTCATCAAACATCAGCTCTTATCAGATGTTATTTTATCATGTCACTGTCAGGGGTGGACTTTGTTTTTCATACTTCAAGGCAACTTATTATTACCTATTATTATTATTTTTATACGTATACTCTACCTCCTCCTCCCTCCCTCCCCTCCCTCCCTCTCCCTCCCCTCCCTCTCCCCTCCCCTCCCTCCCCTCCCCTCCCCTCCCCTCCCTTCCTCTCCCCTCCCCTCCCCTCCCTCCCTCTCCCCTCCCCTCCCTCCCTCCTCCCTCCCCTCCCCTCCCTCTCCTCTCCCCTCCCTCCCTCTCCCCTCCCCTCCCTCCCTCTCCCTCCCCTCCCTCCTTCCCCTCCCCTCCCTCTCCCTCCCCCCCCTCCCCTCCCTCCCCCTCCCTCCCCCCCTCCCTCTCCCTCCCCTCTCTCCTTCCCCTCCTCCTTCCCCTCTCCTTCCCCTCCCCTCCTTCCCCTCCCTCCTTCCCTCCCCTCCCTCCCCTCCTCCCTCCTCCCCCCTCCCTTCCTTCCTCCCTTCTCCCTCCTTCCCTTCCTTCCTTCCCTTCCTCCCTCCCCTTCCCTCCCTCCCCTTCCTCCTCCCTCCCTCCCTCCCCTCCCTCCTCATCCTCCTTCTCTTCCTCATTATTATTATATATTTCCACATATCCAAAACATTGCTGGGATCTATAAATACTTTGTATATATTCCAAGACAATAGTAAATGACCAAGGCAGGTGTAAATGTCAACCTGTCACTGTGTTTGTGACAATGTGAGTGCAATTTTAGTGCCTAATACAGTGGACCCCCGCATAACGATCACCTCCCAATGCGACCAATTATGTAAGTGTATTTATGTAAGTGCATTTGTACGTGTATGTTTGGGGGTCTGAAATGGACTAATCTACTTCTCAATATTCCTTATGGGAACAAATTCAGTCAGTACTGGCACCTGAACATACTTCTGGAATGAAAAAATATCGTTAACCAGGGGTCCACTGTACTAGTGTCAGAACTAAGATTAGTTATAAAATGACAAGAACTTCTATAAATTGTAATTATCAGAACATAAAAATTATATAAAATAATATGAAAATAGAAAAAAAGGTATATGGGCAACACTTCTGCAAGCGGCAGGACTCGATGTTGCCGTCACGTGAGCATCCAGTGCCAACTTCTCGGCCTCATATCTCTGTAAATAATGACCCTAAATTTTTTCTTTTTATCCTATAACACTTAGAAAAAATGTGCTCTTTAATTTCATTAAAAAAAAAAAAAAATTTTTTTTATTTTTCAAAATATTTGGGGCACTGGGGTAGTGAACGTATGTATACGTTTGGACCGTTTACGGGTTTAAAGGGAACAGTTAAGTTATGATATTCTTATGCTTTAAGAAAGTAAGAATAGCATTTACTGTTTATAAAAATCTAAACTATATGTATAACTATGAGGATTACTAATTTTTGTTTTTTCAGGTCATTGCCAGAAGATCCTACACAGCTAATTGGTACCCTTCATGTAACTGATGCATGTGGGGTAGTCAGTCTTCTGTATGGTATTCTGCTCCACCAGGGAGGCAGATCATCTATGCCTCAAGCACCTTCAAAACTCTCACAGACTACATATGCCATCACTGTTGCTGCCACCACATTACTGCATAACCTTGCTTCCCTCGATCTCCCTATGTTTCAGGTAAGGAAGGAACTTTTTTCTTTGCTCTTTTTTTCTTGTCTTTTGTTTAATTTATATATAACTGAAATGGGGATGTGCAAGAGAATTTTTTTATGTATAAATTTAATGCATATCACTTGTTAATAGCCTACCATTTATTTGAATTGATAATCTATTTTTCAGCTAAACCAAAATTTGAAAAGGAAACTATATATATCATTTTGGCCTATTGTAAACCATTATCAGATCACAACTCACCAAACGTCTCCTCTCCAAGTTGTAGATTAGCTGTGAATTGTTCAAGTAATTTTTTTTTTTTTTCAATAAACCGGTCATATCCCACCAAGGGATATGACCGGTTTATTGATTGTCCATAGAGGCCTGTACCTCTCGTTCCTTTATGACTTTTCTGAAGTGGTTCACAACATTGTCATTGTAATAGTCACCAGTATGGCTTGCAATAGCTGTGTGAAGGTGATTGTCATCCATAAAGGTTTTCACCTTTGTCCACATTGTACACATTTCTTTAATCTGTGAAGTAGGCAACTTCCTCAATTTCTCTATCCCCTCCTCCAAAGCAGTTTCCTCAGGTCTGGCCTCTTGCTGTTGAAGATGATCTAGCAGCTCATCAGTGGTCAGTTCGTCATTGTCCTCCTCCACCAACTCTTCCACATCCTCCCCACTAACCTCCAACCCCAAGGACTTCCCCAATGCCACAATGGTTTCCTCAACTGGCATACGATTCCCAGGGTTAGCCTCAAACCCTTCAAAATCCCTTTTGTCTACACATTCTGGCCACAGTTTCTTCCAAGCAAAGTTCAAGGTCCTCTTAGTCTCTCCCTCCCAAGCCTTACCTATAAGGTTTACACAATTGAGGATATTAAAGTGAGCCTTTCAAAACTCTTTTAGAGTCAGTCGAGTGTCTGTGGTCACTTTAAAGCACTTTTGAAACATAGATTTTGTGTACAGTTTCTTGAAGTTGGAAATGACCTGCTGGTCCATAGGCTGCAGGAGAGGAGTGGTATTAGGAGGCAAAAACTTGACCTTAATGACGCTCATGTCCCCAGAAAGTCGCTCTGCCAAGTCTGTAGGATGACCAGGGGCATTGTCTAATACCAGGAGGCACTTGAGGTCTAATTTCTTTTCAATTAGGTAATTTTTCACATTGGGGGCAAATGCATGGTGTAACCAGTCATAGAAAAAGTCCCTAGTGACCCATGCCTTACTGTTTGCCCTCCACAGCACACACAAATTAGCCTTGAGGACATTCTTTTGCCTAAACGCTCTGGGAGTTTCTGAGGGATATACCAATAAAGGCTTCACTTTGCAATCACCACTAGCATTGGCACACATCAGAAGAGTAAGCCTGTCTTTCATAGGCTTATGTCCTGGAAGTGCCCTTTCCTCCTGAGTAATGTAGGTCCTTCTTGGCAATTTCTTCCAAAACAGGCCTGTTTTGTCACAATTAAACACTTGTTCAGGTTTAAATTCTTCACTGTCTATGTAATCCTTGAATTCCTTCACATATTTTTCAGCTGCTTTTTGGTCCGAACTGGCAGCCTCACCATGCCTAATCACACTATGTATGCCACTACGATTCTTAAATCTTTCAAACCAACCTTTGCTGGCCTTAAATTCACTCACATAACTAGTTGCAGGCATTTTTTCAATTAAATCTTCATGCAACTTCCTAGCCTTTTCACAAATGATCACTTGAGAGATGCTATCTGTTTTTCATTTATCCACACCAATAACAGTCTCTCAACATCTTCTAACACTTGTGGTGTCTGTTTCGAAAACGAAGTTGCACCTTTTGCAACAACAGTTTCCTTGATTGCCGTTTTCCTGGCCACTATAGTAGCGATGGTTGATTGGGGTTTTGTATACAACCTTGCCAGCTCCAACACACGCACTCCACTTTCGTACTTTGCAATTATCTCTTTCTTCATTTCAATAGTCATTAGCACCCTTTTTCTCGAAGGGTTGGCACTAGAAGCTTTCTTGGGGCCCATGGTGACTTATTTTGCAGAAACAAGCACCAAAAACACTGTGATAATATGGAATGTACCAAATGTATGCTTAGATACGAGCACACTGGCTGGCATGTAAACACTGAAAAGCATGGGGCAGTTCAGGCCACATGTGGACACGTCCCGGACGAATCGCGCGTGGCGGGTTTTTTAACGAGTGGCGAGACAAAATTTTTGCGTTAAAATGTATCGAATACCGGATTTAACGTATACCGATGCCATCGAATACCGGGGGTCAACTGTAGTATATATATGTATATATACAGTGGAACCTCTGCTTGCGAGTTCAATCCGTTCCATGACCTTGCTCGCAACTGGATTTGCTCATTTGCAGTCAATTTTCCTCATTTAAATTAATTGAAATGCAATTAATCCATTCCAGTGGAATTCTGTACTTCGTAATTTCGCTAATATCAACTCTACAGCTTATTTGTCTATCTCACTTCATCTAATACGACATAATAAACAATATAAATAACATACAAACCTGATATATACTCTAAAATGAATAAAATATGTCATTCACGTGGCGGTATGGGCGGTGTCAGTGGTGGACAAGAGTTTGTCTGGAGACCGGGCAAAATACTTCATGAATAATTTAGCTAATATCATCTATACGGCTTATTTATAAAACACAGTTCATCTAATATGACATAAGAAACAATACAAAATAACATAGAAACATGATATATACTCTAGAATGAATAAAATATGTCATTATGTAACAGGTGGAGGCAGCCACAACTGCTCCCTCTTTGTTGTGGTAAACACTGCCATCTAGTGACGGCCTTTTGAAGCCATCTATTAAAATTGTTATATGTAGTACATTATTATTATATATGTATTATTATTATACATATATTATTATTATTGTATTGTATTGTGTTATTATACTATTATTATTATACATTTTTTTTTTTTTTTTTTTTTTTTTTTTTCAACAAGTCGGCCGTCTCCCACCGAGGCAGGGTGACCCAAAAAAGAAAGAAAATCCCCAAAAAGAAAATACTTTCATCATCATTCAACACTTTCACCACACTTGCACATTATCACTGTTTTTGCAGAGGTGCTCAGAATACAACAGTCTAGAAGCATACACATATAAAGATACACAACATATCCCTCCAAACTGCCAATATCCCAAACCCCTCCTTTAAAGTGCAGGCATTGTACTTCCCATTTCCAGGACTCAAGTCCGACTATATGAAAATAACCGGTTTCCCTGAATCCCTTCACTAATATTACCCTGCTCACACTCCAACAGATCGTCAGGTCCCAAGTACCATTCGTCTCCATTCACTCCTATCTAACACGCTCACGCACGCTTGCTGGAAGTCCAAGCCCCTTACCCACAAAACCTCCTTTACCCCCTCTCTCCAACCCTTTCGAGGACGACCCCTACCCCGCCTTCCTTCCCCTATAGATTTATATGCTTTCCATGTCATTCTACTTTGATCCATTCTCTCTAAATGACCAAACCACCTCAACAACCCCTCTTCTGCCCTCTGACTAATACTTTTATTAACTCCACACCTTCTCCTAATTTCCACACTCCGAATTTTCTGCATAATATTTACACCACACATTGCCCTTAAACAGGACATCTCCACTGCCTCCAACCGTCTCCTCGCTGCTGCATTTACCACCCAAGCTTCACACCCATATAAGAGTGTTGGTACTACTATACTTTCATACATTCCCTTCTTTGCCTCCATAGATAACGTTTTTTGACTCCACATATACCTCAACGCACCACTCACCTTTTTTCCCTCATCAATTCTATGATTAACCTCATCCTTCATAAATCCATCCGCCGACACGTCAACTCCCAAGTATCTGAAAACATTCACTTCTTCCATACCCCTCCTCCCCAATTTGATATCCAATTTTTCTTTATCTAAATCATTTGACACCCTCATCACCTTACTCTTTTCTATGTTCACTTTCAACTTTCTACCTTTACACACATTTCCAAACTCATCCACTAACCTTTGCAATTTTTCTTTAGAATCTCCCATAAGCACAGTATCATCAGCAAAACGTAACTGTGTCAATTCCCATTTTGAATTTGATTCCCCATAATTTAATCCCACCCCTCTCCCAAACACCCTAGCATTTACTTCCTTAACAACCCCATCTATAAATATATTAAACAACCATGGTGACATTACACATCCCTGTCTAAGACCTACTTTTACCGGGAAATAGTCTCCCTCTCTTCTACACACCCTAACCTGAGCCTCACTATCTTCATAAAAACTCTTTACAGCATTTAATAACTTACCACCTATTCCATATACTTGCAACATCTGCCACATTGCTCCTCTATCCACTCTATCATATGCCTTTTCTAAATCCATAAATGCAATAAAAAACTTCCCTACCTTTATCTAAATACTGTTCACATATATGCTTCAATGTAAACACTGATCTACACATCCCTACCCACTCTGAAACCTCCTTGCTCATCCGCAATCCTACATTCTGTCTTACCTCTAATTCTTTCAATTATAACCCTAACCGTACACTTTTCCTGGTATACTCAGTAAGCTTATTCCTCTATAATTTTTACAGTCTCTTTTGTCCCCTTTCCCTTTATATAAAGGGACTATACATGCTCTCCGCCAATCCCTAGGTACCTTCCCCTCTTTCATACATTTATTGAACAAAAGTACCAACCACTCCAACACTATATCCCCCCCTGCTTTTAACATTTCTGTCATGATCCCATCAGTACCAGCTGCTTTACCCCCTTTCATTTTACGTAATGCCTCACGTACCTCCCCCACACTTACATTCTGCTCTTCTTCACTCCTAAAAGATGGTATACCTCCCTGACCAGTGCATGAAATTACTGCCTCTGTTTCTTCCTTAACATTTAAAAGTTCCTCAAAATATTCTCGCCATCTACCTAATACCTCCATCTCCCCATCTACTAACTCCCCTACTCTGTTTTTAACTGACAAATCCATATTTTCCCTTGGCTTTCTT